ACATAAATATATTTAGTGATATGTTTTTTATGTATAGATCAAAGTTCATCTAAAAGGTGTCTACAGAAAGTCCAAATTCAGCTGACTAGTACAACTTGTATGCGACTTTCAGAGCGAATATCAGAAAACAGCTAAGAAAATATCCAATGCAGCCAAGCAAAGCTCCTCTTCTAGAACCAATCAGAAGTTATCAATATTCACAGCTCAGTGCCCTAAATGTACACTTAGTACTGGATTAAAGTGCATGGAAACCCAAAATAAAAAGGATTCAATTGCAGCTTATCAATTCTTAGATGTGACGGTTGCATTTGTTTTTTAGACTTTTTTTTTTTTTTTACCTGGTGATCCAAAACTAATGGTTCTGTGTATGGCCACCATTATGCTCACTATACAATGTACTGTAGGCTGCAAAAGAAGTGGGATTGGCTTGTACACATGTCGCAGCAAAAATATATACCCCCTTGTCGCATGAACAGTACTGCTGCTGAGATGATTTTTTTTTTTCTTCTTTATTTTTAATTCTTTTTGGTAGGCCACATTACAACCAAAACACATTTACAGTGCATTGATCACTACACTGAACAGTCACAGCAACAAAGCATATCTGGTAAAGGAGAACTGAAATATTTAACAATTAAAGCACTAATATACAATAAAATCAGGAAGATAGCTCAATTAAAAAATACTTTTATTCTTGCAAAACAAAAAAAAAAAAAAAAGGGGGGGGGGGGGGGGAAATGGTCTGGAAAAGGGCCTTCAGTCCTGTTGCTGGTGAGAGGTCTTCCATTAGAGTCCCGAACAGATGATCAGTTTACATGGATGGGGACTGTGCTGCACCTATGTGCAACACATGTCGTGATGACATGGGGGATGCACGCTTGAAGGGATTAAACAGGTGGACATATCTCTGAAAAGTGATCCGAGGTGGAATCACTTTTCAGATTGGGTACAAGGTCTGCAGCAAGTGTAAACTTTAAGTGGCTGCAAACACTATATACTATACAATCTGAATGTACTGTATAACCTCCTTTAGAACAAATCCAACACAACAAACACTTTACTCCTGCGCTAGGAAAGGACTCAGTAGACCCAATAGGAATGTTCTGGAATTTTCTGGAATATGCACTGCATGCTGCCCTCAACAGACCGGGGTGGTCCAAATACACTGGATACAAATGGAGAAACAGAAAAAGGGCACACCGACCTAGTGCATTATCGTTTAAAATAACTTATTGAAGAAACAAAATAGGTATCATACTCACAATGGACATAATAACACAGCCATCTCAAACTGAACAAGATGTATGATCCAAACAACATCTGAGAGTCCATATGATGGAACCCTAGATGACCAACTGGCTAACGCGTTTCGAGGACAAAACCTCTTCCTCAGAGCCATTATGTCCATTGTGAGTATGATACCTATTTTGTTTCTTCAATAAATTATTTTTAAACGATAATGCACTAGGTCGGTGCGCCTTTTTTTCTGTTTCTCCATTTATAACCTCCTTTAGAGCCATCATCCACTATGCAGTGCAGGGGCCTGCCTGATTTTATAATATGGAATAGATTTTTTTTTACCTCTTCCTACTACAAAGTTTTGTCAACTCTAAAGGAGATTGTACAATCAGATTGTATAGTGTATGGCCTGCTGTAGGATGGCTCCACACTATAGAGGAGAAATGGAGCCACCCTTAAAACACCAGCACTGTCAGTCTGCAGAGAGGGCAGTGACTTAAGCTAGGGTCACATCTATACAAGTTGCAGCTGATATGTTTTTCCAGCCTGATTTGTGCTGCATTTTTGTTTTTTGTTTTTTTGCTAATAGAAAACGAAGACAGTTCTGTTCAAGTATTGCGATTTTGATGCAACTTTACACTTTCTGGCACTCAAGTAGCCTCAAAGTCGCATCATAGTGCAGGCACCCTTATGTGACCAAAGTGGCATGTAAGAACTGAGGGCTAGGGTTAAATGTTAGGGTTAGCAGCGACCATTAGTGTTAGCAGTAATTGTCAGAGTTAGCAGTTCTACCCGAACAATTACCGCTAATCCGGAGTCAAACCTTAACTCTAACCCATAGCCATTAACCCGAATCCGAACATGCAAGTTTGGTCACAAAGATTCCAGCACTACTTTGAGGTGACTATGATGCTACTTGAGTGCCAGAGAGTATAAAGTCGCACTACATGAACAGAGCTGTCAGTTTTGTATTAGCAAAAAAAAAAAATTGCATCAAAAATGCAACACTTTTTTGCTGTGGGCCCACTGGAGTCTATTACATGCAAAATGCAATCTGCTGTGGAGGAAGTTCCTGACCATTTCCAAAAAAATGCACCGGCTCAAAATGCACAGATGCAAACTAGATCCATAGGAAACCACGTTAAATGGACTGCACTACATTTCTGCACACTGGAAAACGCACTGAAATCTGCATAAGTGTGAACCTAGAGTGCAGGTGGAACTAAACTCTCCTATCCTTTTCAGCCGCCATCTTAGCCTCTGTTTGATCTGTAACTGCCATGATGCTGCACATGTGATCAGTTACGACAACAGCCATTTGATGGTTTGACAGTTTGGTTGAGAACAAACAACTGACAGTTAACATTCCTGGCATCCCGGGAATGCAACTGTTTTTTGAAACAGTTACATTTATGGTTTAGTTTCTCTTTAACTAACAAATTGAAACCAAACTCCAGCTAAAACTTGATAAGAAGTCACAGCAAAAGTGTTTTCCTTTTGGGATAAAGGTTTTACCTGAATGAATAAAAGCTGATCATTGTAAGCACCCGTGTCAGTGGTAAATGGTTTGTGTCAAACCTGAAAGCGTCACTTTCACTGGACAGCTTGGGATGTTAAAACTAAAGGAAAAAACAAACACACGCAGACAACACTTCCAAGAATTGTTTTTTTTTTTCTTTAGGCATAAGTGTCTTTATTGTGATCTCTGTAGCTGCTTTTATTGTGAAGGTTTTCCTTCTCAGAGGTCAGGAACCGCTTGCTTAAAACTCTTTTAGGGCTTTTTTTTTTTTTTACACTTACAGCAAGGACTGCTGCTCCTCTGAAAAGCAATCTGCACATGGACTGCTTTTCAGAAAGGTTTGACAGACAGCAAGGAGGGGAAATGTCACAAACTCAATGTCTGTTTTAAACCTGTAAACGCTGCACTATTGTACCACAACTAAAAACATAAAAGCAAAAATGTACAGTTGGTGCCTTTAGAAAAGTAATAATAGCTGTAACAGTCAGTAATGGACAAATCATGACAGCAGCCAGTTAGCAATTTAAAGGCAAAAGGAATAATAATATCAATCCATTCACCAGATAATCACAAATTCAAACAATACTAACGGTGCAAACTCTCTTCTTTTATTCTCATAAATGGAAAACATATTTTTCTAACTACACAGGGTAAGTACATTACATCTAATAGCTTAAAAGCATGGCTGGCGCATCAAGTCTTTTCTCATTTTCTATTACATTTCCCAGAAACAATTAGAAGCGAAAACCTTTATTGCCAGCATTTAAATGAAAGTCCCCAATCAGTAAACAATCACAATGCAGGCTGTAAGTAACAAATAAAAAAAAAAAAAAAAAAAAAAAAAAAAAAAAATCACAGCCTGGGCCAACATATGTATAGACACGGCCTCACTTGTAATCTCTTCTACATATACAGGCATTCCCGGCCATAAAATAACTCACAGAAGTCACCATGACCAAGAAATGTTTTTCATATTTAGGGATTATTATTAGAACGCAGTGCTTTTCCACAAACACTTCTCCGTTGCCCAATCTAAGCACTCATGCTCATTGTATACAGAGAATATACTAAACTAGGGCCGGTTTTCTTCTATTCTTCTACTTTCTTCTGTTTTATTTTAAAGTGGCTCAAAAGGCTCAAGGTTTTTCACCTTCATGCATTCTATAAATGATCAGATCATCGTACGATCGCTTAGCACAGTGGTTCTCAACCTGTGGGTCGCGACCCCTTTGGGGGTCAAACGACCCTTTCACAGGGGTCCCCTAAGACCATCAGAAAACACATATTTCTGATGTGTAAAAAGCAGCTACTGTGTAGAAAGCAGCTGCTGTGTTGAAAGCAGCTATTCTGTTAAAAGCAGCTACTTTGTTGAAAGCATCAGTATTGGAGGTAAAACGACACTCATGAATTATAATTACTGGGTAAATAATTTTATGGTTGGGGGTCACCACAACAAGAGGAACTGTATTAAAGGGTCACGGCATTAGGAAGGTTGAGAACCACTGGCTTAGCAGTATTTTTTTGTGTTTTTTCTCTGATCGTGTGTACTTGGCTTTCATGAAAACTGGCAAGTAGTATAACAGTACTGAACAGGCTCCACAACAACAATGCCAACACAGAACAGTGCCTGAACTCCATTCATTTTAATGATGTCTGTTGGAGGATTTCACATTGAACTAAACAGAGTTCAGACCATGCAAAGGGCGAGGTGCGATGCACTCAACTATCAAAGGAAACCTCGACAAGCCAGTAAATCTGTCAATACAAGGAAGATTGGAGCAAACTGATGAATTTTATTAGCAGATCATCAGCAGTAGCGATCAACTGCTACACATTTGCAACAAATGGCTCCCTATGGCGTGAGGCACACAAGTAGCATATAGTAGTAATTAATCACACCCCCAGAGCATTGTGCAATCATTACAGATTCATCACTGCTACATGCTACTTGTGTGTGCAGGTGAGCACTCTCATAGTCCAAGGATTCTTCCTGCAATTCAGTAACTGTCTGCCTGTACCTCATACGCAGAATCTTGGCAATGCTGATCAGGGATGCACTGCCTTAACCACTTCCCAACCGGCCGTTGTATATAAACGGCCGGACGGTGGCAGTGCAGGGTCGGGTGGCCGTTTATAAACGGCCTCCCCGCACCCTGCTTGTGCGCGCTCCCTGGGAGCGCGCAGCACCGCGATCCGGTGCCCGCTGTGTCCTCCGGACACAGTGAAACACCGATCGGCGGACGGGACCTCTGTACGAGGTCCCGATCATGTGATCACGGATTGGCCAATCAGTGATCACATGCAAAGTAGCAAGCAAGATGTCACTTGTGACATCATTGCTTACTACGTGTGAATTCTGTGCATGATCACAGAGGTCACATGGTACAAGGCTATTCACAACAGCCTTGTACCATGTAACAAGCTGTGACCAATCACAGCTCACTCTGTATTTCTCAATGACTGCAAGAATGCAGACAGAGAAAGAGAAATGATTGCTTTTACATCCTATATGGGTGTAAAAGCAATCAGTGTAAAAAAAAAAAAAAAAATCTTCATCACCCCCCACAAGTAGTACAGTGTCACCATGGTGACACTGTACTCCTAGGGTGACAGTATGTAGAAAAAAAAAAATTAAAATAAAAAATATAAAAAAATAAAATAAAAATGTAAAAAAAAATATTTAAAAATTATACTTTTTGATTATAAACTAATTTGGATTTTTTTTTTTTTTTTTTTTACAAAAAAAGATAACGGAATAAATTTTGCCCAAGATTTATGATGAAATATTATTTATTTGCAAAATTAAAAAAAAAAAAAAACACTTTTTTCAAAATTTTTGGACTTTATCATTTACATAGCAAAAAAAATAAAAATCCCAGCAGTGAATAAATACCACCAAAATAAAGCTTTATCTGTCTCAAAAAAATGGTAAAAAATTCATTTGGGTACAGTGTGGCATGACCGCGCAATTGTCATTCAAAGTGTGTAGCGCTGAAAGCTGAAAATTGCCCTGGTCAGGAAGGGGGTAAAAGTGTCCGGTCTGGAAGTGGTTAAGGCTAGGTTCAGGTGGTGCCGCTGCAGATTCGCACAAAAATCTGTGCAGCCGCACCACCCACAGAACAATGCGGACCAGAAGCAGGTGCCATTCATTCTAATGGCATGCCGCCCGCACTGGAAATCGAGGTTCCCGTGCGGGCTGCGTTTTCAGAAGACATGCAGGGACTTCTTCCCTGCGTGTCCTGGGGCATGGGAGTCCTTTCAAATAAATGGGCTCACATGTCCACGCAAAATACAGCCCGCAAGAACATGGATCTGTGAACCAGGGGTCAAGGCTGCAGAGTAGAAAAATAAGAAATGCACTTTTTTTTACCTGTAAAAAGGATGTGCATTGATTATTTTTTGATAAAGGATTAACTTATCCTTTAACCCTGTCACTTGTCTCCAAAACGCACACGCTCAGACCTACAGCCTCCTATGATATTCAAGCTGCTTTCTTAACTACGTGTTCCGTGAACACTTGCTGCATGCTTCAATGTTGACATAAATGGCACAGACAACAGGCACGGCTAGGCACCGTCAGCCACCAGGCTTGTTAATTCGTGATACAGTCTACAGCTGGCCATATATCCAATTTTATTATTCAATATCCTTTAGATTTACCTTCAACTATGTAGTGCAAGGGCCTGCCTGATTGCATACAAATTGAAAGTGTTTAGGTTTGACCTCATATTGTAAGGTTTTGGTAAATCTAAAGGAAATTTGTACAATGTATGGCCAGGCCAAGGGTGACAATGAGTTGCCCTGAAAGGAGCACCGTCACACTATTAGGGAGACAAAGAGCAAAGATTTGGCTAGCAAGAACCTATAGGAACGTTAGACAAATTGATGGGCAACTAAAAGAAAACGAATAAAACACAGTTTTGTAATGTAGAAGGATGCACTGTATTTTTTTAAATGATCAGACCACAGTTCTGCTTTACATTTCCATTCTAATCTGAAGACAGTTGGATTTTCTAAAGCTGCCACAAAAAATAAATAAAATGTTACTTCCTTACACATGGCAATACGCCCTTGTACAGGATTTCCTAGGATTCTCTTCTCCCTGATATAAGTGCTTTCCTTGCCTTCTCAAGAAACCCGCACAAACCTTTGGTTTCCGTAAATTTACTGAAAGGGCTTTTAGAATATCAATACTAAGTACACAGGGGATTTACACGTGCTCATTTTTTTTGCAAGGAATGTTAACTTATGTTTACTCTGCTACTCTTCATAAGAAAATAATTTGTTTGACAACACCCAAATGTAACGTAGGACTAGCCTTGTATATTGTTTCTCCAATTTGCCCAATAACTGGATGACAAAGCAATTAGTGGTCCACAAAGATATCTTCCTCTCTAGCTCCCTTATCACCTCCTCCCACGCTCGCCTCCAGGACTCCTCCAGAACCTCTCCCATCCTCTGGAACTCCCTACCACAGTATGTGCGGTCAGCCACCACCCTGTCTGCCTTTAGACGATCTTTGAAAACTCACTTATTCAGGGAAGCCTACCCCACCTCCACCTAAGAACTGTACTTGAGCCACCTCCATCAGATCATCCCCCGCAGCTATCACCTTTTGTATCACCTCCCCCGTCCTTTAGATTGTAAGCTCCACGGGCAGGGCCCTCCTATTCCTTCTGTACTGAAATGTATTGTAATTATACTGTCTCACTTATATTGTAAAGCGCTGCGCAAACTGTTGGCACTATATAAATCCTGTATAATAATAATAATAATAATAAATGGAGGAAGCAAAGTACAAAAGTATATATTCAAAAGGGAAAAAAAAAAACACACACAAATTCTATGAGAAAAGTGGTGTAATAGAAAGCAGAGGTTTCCCAGGTACAAAGTGAATCTTTTTATAACCATTAGTCATAGTAGTGCATGAGAAGACATGTAAACCACTGCCTGTTTACTTCTGCCACTCAGCCAACCCGGCACACCATAAGCCTTTAAGCATCTTATAGGTTCACTGGAAAATGTCTCTCCCCCTCCTTCACACCTTCGAATGGCAAAGAGAAAACAAAACAAGTGAAAGGAATGAAGTTGACAAAGTTAGCCGGAGAAGGTTGGGACAGAACACGTAAGAAGTTGCGTTTTCTAAGCAGGCTGCCTGTATTGGGTAGCTGTTCCTAGAACCCACTGCAGGGCGCAGCGTACGAAGCTTTCATTTTCATACACACATGCATGCTTGTATCTCCAACATGTATACAGAAAGCAGACCACATCCCCCCCTCTATCTCTGCTTAGGAAGAAGAACAACTGCTTTTTTGCTCAAAAGGTCTTTAACCACTTGCCCACCAGAGGATTTACCCCCCCTTTCCTGACCAGGCCATTTTTTTTTGCGATACAGCACTGCATTACTTTAACTGACAACTGCGCGGTCATGCAATGCTGTACCCAAATGAAATTTATGTCCTTTCCCCCCCCCCCGCCCCCCACGGTGGTATTTGATCACCTCTGAATTTTTTATTTTTTTGAGCTATAAACAAAAAAAGACCAACAATTGAAAAAAAAAAAACACAATTTTTTTACTTTTTGCTATAAAACATATCCAGTAATAAAATGTAAAAAAAAATCTAATTTCTTCATAAATTTAGGCTGAAATCTATTCTGCTACATGTCTTTTCTAAAAAAAAATCCCAATACATGTAAATGAATTGGTTTATGTGAAAGTTATAGCATTTACAAATTACAGTGTATATATTGGAATTTTTATTTTTTTTCTTTACCAATTATGGCGGCGATCAGCGACTTATTGCGGGACTACAGCAGGCATTCTGACACCACTGGGAACTGACAGCCACTGACATCCCCAGTGACACGAATACAGTGATCAGTGCTAATAAAAAGCACTGACACTGTACTAATTGCACTGGGCAGGAAGGGGTTAACATCGGGGCAATCAAAGGGTTAACTGTGTGCTGTGTTGTGTTTTACATAGTGTACTGTGTATTTTGCTAGGGAAACATGCTGCTATGTATTCTTTTGCTGTGCAGAGCAAAACAAAGCAGCATGTCGGTGCTGGCAGGGGAGAGATCTGTGTTTACATACAGACCTCTCCCATCAGCTCTGCCGATGATCACCAAGTCCCGGCCGAGATTCGGTGGCCGGGAACCAGTGATTGACATGCCGAGGAGCCAATAGCAGCACAGATTGGGAAATGCAAATCACACATATATATGTGATTTTGCGCATCCCTGCAGCAGTACTTCTGCTATAGGGTGGCCGGGAAGCGGTTAAAAAAAAAAAAGTTTTAGGCTTCATGCACACTGTACTCCTTTCCATAACTTTTCTTCTTCCAGGAAAAAAACAACTTAAAGTGATACAAATGTTCAACTTTAAAAAAAAAAAAAATAAACCTGTTCTGCCTACCTGCTCTGTGCAATAGTTTAGCACAGAGCATCCCCGATCCTCCTCTTCTCAGGTCCACTGATGCTCCTGCCCCCCCAAGCGCTTCCCAGAGCAAGCTGCTGCTTTTGTGAACATTGTTGGATTTAGATCAGGCTCAGGTAAGTATTAGGGGGGGGGGGCTAAGAGGGGAAGCTTCACATTGAAGATTTTTTTTACTTCCATGTATGTAGTACATGAAGGTATAAAACCTTCAGTCTTTACAATCACTTTAAAAGAGAAGTGTGGGATTGCTCCCCCGCCAGTTATACTTACCTAGGTGGATGCAGTATTAGTCTGATGCTGCATTTGTCCCCCACTGGCTCTAAGGGCTTGTTAACACTTGACTAAATTTCTAACTCTTCAAAAACCCTCCTATAGTGTTAGAATGGGCGCTAGACAGGCGTTAATGAGCTTTAGTGTGGGCGTTCTACAAGCGATAAAAATGCTCCCTTTGCACATTTTTGAGGCGTTTTAGAAGCGTTAAAACTGCACCACAAATGCCTATAATAGACTGTAATGGTATTAACGCACCGCAACTGCACTGCAAACGCCCCGCAAACGCCTGCCAGTGTGTTTGTGGAGAGTCACCATAAACCTGAAAGGGAGGCGTTGAAAGGCTTCAAACACTTCCAGACTTGACATGAGGCTTCAATTTTGAAGCAATGCTAATGCTTCATGTTTTGAGAATGTGAACAGCACTATGTGCCGTCCATAGTATCATTTGCAAGAGCTTTGGCTGTACTTTAAAAAAAAAAGCCCAATTTTTCGCAAGCGTTTCTATACTTATTCGGGTATCAGATGCATTCTACTGGCCAAAATATTGATTTATTTTGGCCATTAGAAAGCATTAAAGTGTGAATACCTGCATTTATGTGCATTTCTTCTGGACACGCAAGTGAAGTGTTTTTTTTTTTTTGTCCATTCACACAAAGGCCTCTAAACACCTATGTGTGCATGGACACATAGGCTCACATAGAGGGGCGTTTAGAGAA